AACATACACACACACACACACACACACACACACACACACACACACACACCTCATCATGTTTTAAGTAAATTTATGGTTTTGTGCTGGGCTGGGATGCACACAGCCTGTGTGTCGCAGGTTGGTCTCTGGGCGATGTCTACTGACCGCCCTCTGTCCCACACCACCGATCTGCAGTTTTACCACCGTCAATTCTGCTGCCTTGACGACGGCAGCTTTATAGGAAGTCTTAAAGCCGCACGTCTGAAACTCCAGCCCCGTTCTCGTGCGTGTCTTAATTGAAGCTTTTAGACTGTTTTCATTTTATGTAGTTATCGATGGGGCTGCATTTAGTGCTGCTGTTATCTTTAATTTATTTTCCCCTTTTCTTTTTTGGATTGTTATTTGTTTTCTATTTCCTGCCTTCTTCAGGTCATTTGCAGATTTTATTTTTATTTTGAGGCAGGGTTCCATGCCGCACAGCCGGTCTCAAGTCCATTCTATGGCTGGAGGTGATCTTAACCTCCTGCGTCCTGTGTGCTGGGTTATGAGCACCACCACACAATGTCATGTGAAGGTTTTTAGTATTTCAATTATCCATTGTGTTCTTGCCCAGAATCCCTAGAACAGTTGCTTTCCCCCTTAATTGTACAAGAAATTACTACAATCTCCCTGCTGAATGTCTCAGTCTAAAAATCCGCATTTTGCCATTTCAAGGACAACGTCAGGCCTCATATGAGCCACTAGCCACCTCTACTTGTGTGGTTCTCACCTTGTGACATTGACAGGCACTGAGGACCCGGTTGGACCATGTTACACTGTATGTATGTGTATGTGTGTGTGTTTGTGTGAGTATGTGTGTATGTATATGTGTGTGTGTGTGCTTCTGTAAGTATGTGTGTGTATGTGTGTGTCTGTGTAAATATGTACGTGTTTGTGTATATATATATATATACGTATGTGTGTGTTTGTGTATGTATGTATGTATGTATGTATGTATGTATGTATGTATGTGTTTGTATGGGTGTGTATGTGTATGTGTTTGACTGTTTCTCCCTTCCAGGCTTAGAATAAATGGAGACAGACCCAGGGGAGAGAAGGAGGCTGCAATATCAGTTAGTCTTGTAGCCCCGACTAGCCTGGAACACACTACATAGACCAGGCATCCCTGGAACTATGGTGATGCCCTGCCTCTGCCTCCTGAGTGATGGAATTCCGTGCATGCACCGTCACACCCTGTTCACATCAGTGAATATGATAGTTATTCATACTGTCAATCACTGACAGGACCCAGACTCCGTTAGGAGACAAACCTCTGGGCATGTCTGTGAGGGAGTTTCCAGATTAGGTTGAGGTGGGAAGATGCACCCAAAACATGAGTGGCACCATTCAGTGGACTGGGGTCCTGCACTAATAAAAAGGAGAAACTGAGCCTTCGTCTCTCTGATTCCTGACACCGGGTGCAATATACCAGCTGTCCTGTGCTCTGCCTCCAACTAAGAACCCAAACACACGCTTCTTTTCTCTTTCTTTCTTTCTTTCTTTCTTTCTTTCTTTCTTTCTTTCTTTCTTTCTCTCTCTCTCTTTCTCTCTCTCTCTCTCTCTCTCTCTCTCTTCCTTCCTTCCTTTCTTTATTTCTTCTTTCTTTCTTTCCTCCTTTCTCTTTCTTTTTCCTTTTTCTTTCTTTTTGCCAGGGTTTCTCTGTGTAGCCTTAGCTGTTCTGGCTGTACTGGAACTTGCTCTGTAGACCAGGCTGGCCTCATCTGCCTTACTCTGCCTCCAGAGTGCTGAGATTAAAGGTGTGCGCCACCACTGCCTGGCCGGCAGGCACCCTTCCTTTCTTAAGCTGCTTTGGTCTGGCATTCTGTCTCAGCAGTGAGAGAAGTCATAGCTAAGACTCACAGCGTTCTGACTTATCACGAGAAAGGCTGGGTGGAGAAGCGGAAGGCTGGGTTATCCCTCCTCTACTCTCATTGTGTAGGTACTGCAAGTGTTACAGCTCTGGAGGGAAAGGTGTCCTGACTTGTCGGGAAGTCATGCTATACCTCAAGCTGGTCTGCCGTGGGGATGGTCTCCCCACAGGATGTAGCAATCCTGTCATGGAGAGCCATGACAGCTGAGCTCTGCTGCACCCCTGTTTAAGGGGGCTTCCCAGCAGGGGTACCCCTTTCTTCTGCTCTGCTCCCCAAGGAAACGTCCTAGCAGAGGCATCCATTTCTTATCAGCTCTGGCCCAAGATGTTTCTCCTGCTTCACTCTGCTAAAGGGGAAACCCCTACAGAAATGTAGCAATCTCCTCCAGCTCTGGCTACAAGTTGTTACTTCTGCTCGGCTCCCAAGGGAGTTTCCCAGCAGAAGTATCCATTTCTTCTGCTCAGCTCCCCTAAGGGATCCTCCTAGCAGAGAATCTGCTCTATGACGGCTAAAGATTTGCACCCAAAACTCTTTTAAGAAATATTTATTTGGGGAGGAGGAATCCAGAAGAGTGGCTGCCTCTGCCAGGATGGAGAAGGACAGCTCACAACTGAACAGGCAGAGGGGCTTATATAGGGCTTCTTAGAGGCGGAGTTTTTCCAGGAAGGTTTTCTGCCCTGGGATTGGTTGGTTTTGTTGGCCAGGGGCAAAGTTGGCTCTGGTTTCAGGGCCAGGGTGGGTTTCTTTGGTTCTGGTTTCAGGGCTAAAGTGTTTCTTTCACTGGGCTCCGGTTTCAGGGCCAGGGTGGGTTTTTTTCACTTGCTCTGGTCAGGGCCAGGGTGGATTTCTTTGGCTGGCCCCTTTACCCTACAGGTATATTTCTCAGGCAATTGTTTTCAGGCTCAGTTCTGTGCTTTGTTTCCTTTTCCTAGCTCAGTCCTGAAGAGGTCTCTTCAGTTCTGTCTCATCCTGTTATAATGTCTTTGTCATTGGATGTCCCCAGGAGGGAAGTCCAGGAGCAGAGATGAGCTGCCTTCCATGGCCACCCAGGAAAGGCCACCCCACTGCCACTCACCCGGGAGCCATGTCTGCTTTTATTTGGCAGCTCTCACTCGGTGGCAGTTCACATATTTAGAATGGACATGAATGAGAGGTGGCTATTCTCACACATGAAGCCTAGGCGTGGATATGAAAAATAAGGAAATCCACAGATGGTTGGAAAAGGGCAAGAAAATAGTGCCTTGCGCTCTGTGTGGAGAAATGCTTGGTGAAGATTTTCCTATGTAATCCCAGGACTCGGGAGGGAATGGTAGGAGGATCAGAAATTCAAGGCTGTCCTCAGCTAGATAGTGAGTTTGAGGCTAGCCTGGGGTACATGAGGCCCAGGGTTTTGCTTTTGTTTTTTGGTTGTTTGCTTTGTTTTGTTTTTAAGATGTTTTAGTAAAATTGGGTGCCTAGAGACCTTCAGGGGACAGCCTATATCAGGATGATATGGGAACACCAGTCATCATATATATATATGGAGAGAGAGAGACAGAGAGAGACAGAGAGACAGAGAGAGAGAGAGAGAGAGACAGAGAGACAGAGAGAGAGAGAGATAGAGAAAGTCAAAGGAAATGTGGTGAGGCTTTTGAAATAGGGTGAGCCAGTATATGGGAAACCTGTGTGATGTTTGAGAGAGAGCCATATGCATACACACACACACACACACACACACACACACACACACACACACACACACACACACGAGTGCCCAGAGGTCACAAGAGGAAGTCAGATCCCCCCAGAGACAGAGTTGTCTTGGTTGTGAGACCCCTGACGTGGGTGCTGGGAACTGAACCAGGGTCTTCTCCACGAGCAACAAATGCTTTTAACCATTGAATGTCTTGTTGTAAAAACCTCGTTTTCAATCTGTGTGTGCACTTGCATCCTCCCCCGCCCCCCCCCCACTCCATGGATAGGCACGCACATTGCCATAGTGTGGATGCAGAGGTCAGAGGACAGCCCTGGGTGCCGGGCCTCACCCTCTGCCTGGAGACAGGGTCTCTGACTGCTTTCGCACTTTGTATGCCCGGGCAGCAGGACTGTGAATTTCCAGGGACCCTCCTGGTTTGGGATCCTATCTCCCTATGGGTATGCTACTGCTGTGTCTCCTTTTATGTGGGTTCTGGGGATCTGAACTAACCTAGTTCTATTCCCAGCCTTCTGAAGTTAACAGTGCCCAGTCGTTGCCCAGGGCTGATTATGCGTTTGCTGACCCAAGGTTCTCCCTGTCTACCTGCTTCTCTAGGCTCAGCATCCTAGTCACGGCTCCTCTTTCCTGGCCCTTCACCTGAGGCTGGTGGCTATGCGTCCTGGGCTTCACCTGCCGTCCCTGACTCTCTCTTTTGCCATTTTGGGGGGGGGTGTCTGTCCCTCCTCCCATCCTTCACTCCGCGGGATGGTTAATCTCAACGTCAACCTGACAGGATCTGGAGTCACCAGGAAACAAGCCTCTGGGCACACCAGTGAAGGATATCGAGGCTGGGGAAACTGAGGTCCCTTAACTGTGGGCCGCAGCAGGCTGGGTCCTGGACTGAAAGAAAGCGAGCTGATCGTCAGCACCCACCTTCCTCTGCTACCTGACTGTGGATGCAGGTGACCAGACACTTCATGCCCCTGCTGCCCTACGTCCCCATCAGGACGGACTGACTGTACCCTTGAACTCTGGGCCCTTCTCCCCTTAAGTTGCTTCTGTCTAGTATTCGATCCCAGCATGAGGAAGGCGCCAAAACACCCCCAACTCAAATGTGTGCTACCCAGGAACCAGACTGTGCCTGGGACACGAGACCCCTGCCTGCTGGGACCTCAGCCAATTGGCTCAGATGTTCTGAGAAAGCTCCCAAGTATCCGAGTCCCAGCCACCTGTCAAACCCTGCCTGCCCCCACCCCAGAGCGAGAAGAAGCCAACAGCCAGTAAATGATCCCGAATTAAGCTTGTCTGGGTTAAGGTGGGCTAGTCAGTTTTGATGCTGTTGTGAAAAAATACAGCCTAATTTTTGTTCAAATGCACCAAATTTACTGCCTAGATTCTCATTAACTACTGTCAAGGGAAAGCAGATCGACAAGATAAATTATGAAAAAATTATTTTTAATGTACAAAAAAGACTTATTTACAAGTTGAGCATGTCATCTCAATTTATAGCATGTAGAAAAAGCTAAAAATGTTTGGCAATATAAATTTGGCTGGACGACTCACCCACAGTGTATTCAGGGACGGCGATGGCTATACACAGAAGAGATAGAGACAGAGACTGAGAAGTTGGGGGGTCTGTGTCAGGCAGTGGGCCACACCACTGGAGCCACAGACCCGCGGGCGTGGCCCAGAGCTGCCACTGGGAGTTGGTCTTGTCTCTGGATTGTAAACAGAGAAGTTTGCTGTCCTCGGACCCGGAAGGTCCAGGCTCTAAGAAGTTCCTCACTGGAGCCAGAGTCATGCCCAGAAGGAAGCTCTGAGTGGCGAGGTTTGGTTTGGCAAAGTTTCTGTGAAATTCAAAGGGAGACGTTTCAGACGGGGTGTGCGCATGTGTGTGGTGGGGAGGAGGCGTGGGCTCACCCTGCAGCATGCTCTGGACTGGTTCTTTTTGGAGTCAATTTCCACACGCCCTTTCTTATTTGGGGCCAGGCCATACTGAACAAGAAAATTCATTCCATAGTTCCTCAAAGTCCAAGAATCAGTCCCTCACCCTCCCACCCGACCACAAACACCATGCATGTCATCGGTCCATGCCGAATAACCTGGAGAGGAGGGCAGAGGTCAGGGGATCAGAAAGCACTGGGCCTGCATGCGGTGGTTAGGCGAGGACAGCTGGCCACCCAGCACGGTGTGGAGGAGCCCTAGAATTTTCCACGGGAGGGTGGTAGTGCACAGGAGTAACAGGACTGGGTAAACATGCGACTTGCTTTTTCCAGGGAAGGCCTCTTTCACCTTGGTCCATCCCTAGCCCACAACAACCCGAGGAATTTAGATACAAGCGTTCTTCCCAGGAGGGGCTCCTCCGTACACTTCAGAACACTGTAAACAGATCAGGAGAGGCCCCTGGGTAGTTTCTGGGCTTGCCCCAGGTAGCACAGTTTATTTCCTCGAGATGCATGTTTTATTAGTTCTTCTCCACTCCGGAAATCCGCAGGTCCTACTGTGCCTAAGGGGATGGAGATGCTAGCAGTAATTGAGACAAGTCCCTAATATCCCGGGGGATGCACCTTTCTCCTCTGGCAAGCAACCTTGGCGAGCTTCACGGAAGAATCTCGGAGAGGCAGCAACCCACTCCCGCTGCAGGTGGCAGAGAGGCAAAGCCTTCTCAGAGCAGAGGATCCAGCGTGCTCTCAGATTCAAACCCAGATGTGGTTCCTCTCCCCTCTTTGGGCATGTACTTAGAAATCCTTGGCCAAAGTACTCTCCCATTAGCAGAATGACAGAGGCCAAGAAGCCAGAACTGAGTAGTCCCATAAACACCAAAGGCTGGCAAGTATTGTGTAAACGAGTTGCTTTCTGAACAAGACTTTTTGAGTGTTCCGAAAAACAGGCCAGACAGGGATGAGGGCGTCCCTAAATCTTTTCTTAAAACATTTGCGAGTCTGAACCAGCCGTTGCCCAAGCCCTCTCAGGCCTGATTAACACTTTTTCCAACAAAGAGAAGCGGTTAGACTCTGATGTTCCAAGAAGCTGAGGTTGCTCAGGTCCGCTCCGTCCCAGGAGCCTTTAGGTCATCATATTTAAAAACTTGTTCTCTTCAGCCAGGCTGGTGAGCATGGAGCTCATGTCCCCCACAGCCATGTTGCTGATGCCCGCAGGGATGGAGGGCAGTGTCAGGGAATTCCGGGGTGTGGTGAGGCGTGAGGAATTCTGGGAGAGATTGTGGAGGAGGGTGGGGCTCAGTGCACCGGAGAACAAACTTGAGTGATCGCCATCATCCATGATGGCGTCAAAGTCAATCTGGGGGGCCTCCAGGAGCTGGGAGTCCACAGTGCTGGACACCTGGTTGACCCCTGGTGAAGGCAGAGGCTGAGGCTGGACACTGTCGGAGCATGTTTGTGGTTGTGGTGGCTGGGGCTGCATGGCTGGGCAGCCTTCATTCTGTTCATACATGTGGATCTGGCCATAGTAGTAGAGCGTGTTCTGGTCCTGTGACCGCCCTGTGTCCTGAGAAGACTGAGGAGCCAGGGAGACCATGGTCCCGGCTGTTCCCTTGGGCATAGCTTCTGCTGTCTCTTGGTTGGCCGGTGTGACCATGGCTTGGCCCGCGGTCCTGGCATACAACTGCTGTTGCCCGGCGCGTACTCCACGGTGACGGCTAGCCGTGCTGGGCTCAAGGGGCGGCCGAGGCTGCATGAGGCCAAAGCCTGTGCTCTGCTGGGGCTCCATGAAACTAGGCTGATGGGATGGGACAAGGCTGGGACCCTGTTGGTAGCCTTCCTGCTGGGGATAGCTCAGGGCTGCCTGAGCTTGTGACACCCCAGCCAGGGATGAATTGGCAATCCCAAGCTCCCGCTGATGGCCACTCATCATGGTGGCGTTGGGGACGACTTCCATCTGTGGTGGGAGCCCCAGGTGGCTGGGCTTGGCTGTCATGTTGCCGCAGGAGGGAGAGAATTGGCTCAGGGGCCCACTGACAAGGTTTGGGCTCAGCTGGGCGTGGGCTTGGCTGTAGTTGGCCTGAGGGCTCATGGCGGCACTCACACTCAGGCACTGGCCACCTGTGGCCGGCTGCCGAGGCTGATGCGTGTAGCTCCCTCTGGGTGCAGAGGGGGCGCCACGAAGCTGTGGGTGTGGCTGGGTGCTGTCTAGACCTCCGGAGCTGGCCTGCAGGGCTTGAGGACTATATCCTGAGTACTGGCCAAAGGCTGGCTTCTGCTGAACCACAGCCAGGTTGCTGTGAGGAAAAGGAGGTGGCTTCACCTGACTGGGCAGGGCATCCATGGTGCCAGAGCTCACCTCATTCCACTGCACAGGCATGTTGCTCTTGTTGAGGTTGGAGGAGGGGCTGTAATTCACCTGGCAGCCCCCCAGTCCAGGAGCAGAAGGGCCCACATTGGAGTCGGCCGCCGCTAGCCTACGGTGGCCTTGCAGCCCAGGACTGGGCAGTTTAGCGTTCTCAGGGAAACCAGTGCTTTCTGTAGGATACCCCTGCCGGGCGCTGTCATCCAAAGTACCACTGGTGTGGGCCTTGATGTACTGTACCACATCATCCGGCAGCACCAGCTCATCTTCCACCAGCCCCAGGTCAGACTCGAACCCTGTACCATCTACTCCAGCAGCCATGGCCTCCATCATCACGTTCTCGCTGATGCTAGGGGGTCTCGGGGAGTAGGTGCTGCGGGTCAGGCTGCTATCCACACTAGGGTGGCCCTGTAGGTGCAGGCCTCGCCGATCAGTGCAGGGTGGCAGGGAACCCGGATTCATGTTATGGGTACTGTGGAAACGCTGCACTCGAGGCAGAATGAGGGGGTCGGGTCGCCGCACCGGATCGCTGGCCCTGCGCATGTTGCCGCCTGGCCCCTCGTGCGGGAAGGCAGGAGCCGCACCTACGTAGCCATGGCTGTGGCCATAGGCAGGCCCATCGCTGCCCCGGCGTGGCCCCAGTGGATGTGGGCAGGCGCCGGGCAGTGCGCGTTCGGGAGCATCCAGCAGCGCCAGGCGGGTGCGAAGGCTTACGCGCTCCAGGCCGGGCAGCGGGGTGGGTGGCGGTCCGCCGGTGGCCGCCGCGTACTTGGCACGCAGGCTGTACTGCTGCGCAGGCGTGAGGTTGAGCAGCCCCGGGCCACCACCGCTGCACTGGCTGGCCTCGCTGGAGCGCCGGGAGGCATCTGTGGAGATGGGGTCGTAGGAGTCTGCTGAGCTGGCATTGTGCGGGCGGCCGGCACCCAGCGGTGAGGCCTCACTGGAGCGCCGGCTGGAGAAGTACGGGGAGATGCCAGAGGAGCGGCGGCTCACGGTGTAGGCCGAGCTCACGGTGCTGGTGGAGCTGTCCCTTCTTTCCTGCAGCTGGCTCAGCATGGTTACCTCGGTCAGCTCTGGCAGCCGCTGGCTGGGCAGCAGCCCCGCTGGCCCACCGCCCCCAGTGCCGTTGAAGCTTTCCAGAACAGAACCTAGGGAAAAACAGAGGGGGTCACGGGAGGGCGGTGCTCCGTGGGACACTTACTCCCTGATGGTGAATGGGCCCCGTGGCTGTTTCCCCAACCAAAAGACCACCTGCACCCTGTCCCTAGTACCCATTCCTCTACCCATCCCCCTTGACCAGACTGAGCCTGGAGCCCTAGCGCAAGACCAGGCACAGAGCAGGCACTCAGCAGCCGAAGACTTCTGGGTGTAAGAAAGGAAAGAGGAAGCCAGGTGAGATGGCAAGCTGGTGCTGAATCCCACCCAGCACTTGGGAGGCAGAGGCAGGCAGGTCTCTGAGTTCGAAGCCAGCCTGGTCTACAGAGTGAGTTATACAGGACAGCCGGGCTACATGGAGAAACCTTCCCAGTTTCTCTAGCTGTATATAAAATGCACCTGCACGTAGGATGGGGTTACTGACAACAGGGCTGGGGGGTGGGGCGCCCAGGCCCATAGTTCCTGTGTCCCGACATGGAGGTTTTGGGTGCCCCCCCCCCCCCCCCCGTGAAGACAAAGGTCTTAGGTATCCCAGGTTGGCCTGTAACCAAAGATGACCTCGAGCTTCTGATCCTGCTGCCTCTGCCCACCGGGCGCTGGAATTCTAGGTGCGCGCCACCACACGGCGTTGATTTGGTGCTGAGAACTGAACTCAGGGCCACATGCATAGTAGGCAAGCACTCTCCCAAACGAGTTGCGTCTCCAGCCCTTGATGTTTTATTATTATTATTATTATTATTATTATTATTATTATTATTATTACTCATTTATGTTCTGAGGCAGGGTCTCCCTGTGTTGTCGAGGCCGATCTTAGAGTGGCCAGAGGCCAGCCAAGGCTTCTCACAGCCCTTCAGGGCTGAGACCAGCAGACAAGTGATCGCATCCTTATGATCAGCGATGACCTGTGTGGAGGTGACCTGTGTGGAGGCAGCTGTCTGCAACCCCAGAGATCCCAGATCTGCAGAGGTCATGGCCTTCTGCCAGCAGTCCTTCCAACAGTGGGGCTGGTGGTGTGACAACGTGCACCATCATAGGGGGCAGCCTGGGGTCTATGTGCCCAGTGACACTCTTGGAGCTAAAGAGCCTGCTGAGCACAGGCCACCTCCTCCATGAAGCCCCCCCTGCTCTTTCCTTGCAGAAGGTGCCTCCTTGGTACATCAGTACCCCAGCTCTCTGTCTTTGGTGCTTTGTGGCTTGCTCTGTATGTGATCTGACCGTGGCTCCTTTGGGATGACAACCATACCGCTCTCCTTCCTTGAGCCTTTGACGTGACACTCTAAATGCTGAACAGCTGGATGGGGGGCGGGGAGGAGGCTGTAGCAGCATCAGCCTGTGTTCAGAGGGTGACAGTGGCATGCTACGTGGAGAACAGCATGCATGTCGGAGCTCACGGGCCTGAGCTGAGTTTTCCTGCTGCCTGGGGTTTGGGTGGGGCCCCTTCACCTCCCGTTTCCTTTCCGTGAAACACAAGGTTGGGCTGAAGCAGCCAAGTGCAGGGAGAGCTTAGCCATGGGGCTTCACGTGGTCGACCCTGTACACACGCCTTTACCAGCAGAGCACTTACACACTGGGAGCTTGCACCTGCATTGGGCTACACCCACATCCCTCTCCCAACAAAAGAACCTGGCCACTTGGACCTCTAGCTCCCTACCAGCCCTTAGGAGCCTTTAGTGGCCAAGCATATTCTGAAATACAACCTACAACCGAGGAACCAGGCTGATCCAGCCTGAACTTGTTTGGGGTGCCATGCTTAGTAAGGTAGACTATATCCTTCGAGTGAACTATTAGGGGAACCGCCCTCCCCCACTTATCATGTTATACCTATATATAACTGGGTGTGAATATGGTTAACATCCAGATGTGCCCAATGAACTAAGATTTACATAACCTACGACTGCTAATCAAACCCCAAAAGACCATCCAGACCCTCCCCTAGCAACCAGCTCCTCCTCTTCCTAGACTTCCTAGAGGAAGTCTTGAGCAATAACCAGGAACTCTTGAGCTGTGGACAATGGCCTGTACTCATGCTTCAATTCTGAATAAAATGTGTGTCTTTTTTTTTTTTGCTATTTTTGTGGCTTCTTTTTTAACAAGACACCGAGAACCGGAAACCATCATCTCCGTCCCAGTGTGGGCAGCCAGTCAGACTGCAAGGTGCCTGGAATAAACAGCCCCAGGCTCTCCCCCACCTGTTCTGTTAAGTCCCGGGCCGCACTCACCATTTGCTGGGAGGGGAGGCAGCTTGGTGTTGCGGGTGTGCGGAGCTGGGCCGGCCCACGAGCAGGAATCCTTGAGTGACTTGAGTTTTTCTCTCTTCAGCTGCTCAAAGCGATGCACGGTGGTCATGTGTTTGCGCAGCTGCAGGCCGCCAGTGGAGGGGGCGGCCAAGGCTGAGGTGTCAGCTCCTGGAGATGGGTCATCCAGTGCTGTCAGGTCTCCCAGACTCCCGGGCCCTGTCCCCGGCATCTCCACGCCACTGTCATTGTTGGGGGCACTGCCCAGGGGAGAGGGCTCGCTGCTGCAGGATGACTGGGCCCCGGGGCTGGATTGACACAGCTGTAAGGACAAGGTGGAAGGCTCAGAGGGTGTGAGAAGTCACCGGGTCCTGTGACCCTCCCACATTCATACCGTGCTGCGCTTGCTTGGGTGGGGACACGAGGAAGCAGGGAACTACTCTGAAGAGGCACCGGCGACCCATCCCTTGTCTACCTGCATGAGATGGTTGAGTCTACCCTTGGCCTTCTTTCCCAACTGTGACGACCCAAACTGCCTTCTACATGTGCAAGGATTTGTCCTATTGTAGGCAGAAGGTGACTAAGTTCACCAGGAAAGAAGGTATTCAATGCAGGACTGCTGATGTGCCCACAATGAAGGGAGGGATAACGGAAGTCTGGGGATGTGCTGGCCAGCCACCTTCTACTGCACAGGGTGCTCTCGGCAGGCCAGGAGTATGTGCTAAAGAACGGAAGGAATGGGAGGAGCAGGGAGCTAAGGGGTGTAGCCATTGCCTGCACGGCCACACCAAACTGACTATGCCGGTTAGTTTTACATATCAACTTGACACCGTCTAGAGTCACCTGGGAAGAGATTCTTAATGAGAAGTTATCTAGATCAGATTGGTCTGTGTGCATGTCTGTGGGGGACTGTCTTAATTGTAAATTGAATGTGGGTGGCACCACTTCACGGGCTGGGTCCTGCACTGTCTGAGGGAAGACAGCCAGCTGCGGGAAGCAGCGGGCAGTGATGCGTAATTTTCCCTTTGCTGTTGACTGTGGGTGTGATGTGCTCAGCTGCTTGAGATCCTGCCTTGATTTCCCAAAAGTGATGGGTAGGGATCTGGAATTGCAGCTCAAATCCTTTGCTCACAATTGCCCTCCTTTGCTTTTTTGCCAGAGTATTTGCCACAGTGACAGAAATAAAACCAGAATACTTGGCTCTTCCTCTGGGCTGGGCTGGGGCAGGCAAATCAATCAACGGCACAGCACTCTACAGTATCCAGTGTGGCCTGAGATTGGTTCCGGAAGCAAACTCTCCACCCGGCAGCTCATTTCTGGGTCAAATGCTTTCCCTGTCCCAGCCTCTTCCTTGGGAAGATGCAATAATACTGCATGCCCAGTTTAGGGGAGATGCTCCCAACAAGCTGGGCTCTGTAGGTCTTGACCATGGTGCCCTCCACAATTCTTAACTCCATCTAGCCTAGACTCACCCCTGCTCTCCCTTGATCTCCCTCCACACC